AAAGAGTGTGGTAGGATAGCTGCTCTTGAGGGAATCTGATAAACAGGCAAGGGGGCACAGTCAGTATCCTTCAAGCTCCCTTGAGTTCTTGTTGTTGACAGATGGCACAACTGCCAAGTTTACTACAGATCCATGTGTGAAATGTCATTGGTAAGTGCATGTAGCTACTTGTGAATTGCATATAACCAATTGCATTTCAAGATTAGTATCTGAAGACAAAGACTAGATTAGGTAGTTAGGAAATTCAGAGGAGTTGGAGATATGTGACTACTTAGCATGATGATTTGGGTAAATAATGGGAGGAGGTGTGCAGTAACCTGTGATATTTCTGAGCTGATGCTGCTTCTTTTCCTCCACAGGCACCATCAGTGGCTGTGTGCCCTGTTAAGCATTCCTTGGCAGCAGGAGGAACAGATGCAGGACATTTCTGCAGCCTGTTTGATAGTGTAATACCTCTCAAAACCTTCAGAGATGTTTCACAGTGCTGCTGAAGTCTATGAGACAGCCCTGAGGGTGGCAGCCTCATGTGAACTATTTTGACCTTCTTTTGTACCTCCAGACAGCCTGCTCAATCTCTTCAGACCAGAGCCAGGTCTTTCTCAGGATGTTAGAAAGCAATTAATACTCTGTGATCATATCTTGTACCCCCAAAAAGGAGATGAAAAGATTTTTGAGAGATTCGGAAGAGGGAACCAGAAAGGAAAAACAATCAAAAAAAGATGAGCTGCATCTGTCTGAGAGTTTCTGTGTCTCTGTCTCCCTGCTTGGGTACATTCAGGTCTGCACCTCTGACTGTTAGCAGATCTGCCTTTTCATCTTTAATGCTATTTGTGAAGGACCATTTGCCTTACCTTTTCCTTTTGATCTCTCTTGCTTTCTGCTCCTCTAGCTTTATGGCCAATACACAGACAAGATAACTGACTTTGCAGAGAAGGAAGCAGCAAAACTACTGAATAAGAAGCAAGCCCAAAAGAACAATGAAAGACCCCTGAAACGTGAGAGTCAAGTAGAGATCAAAGAAGAGCACTATTCCAAATGTCAAGGTAGGGACAATTCATCTTTCATTATCCTATGACCAGATATTGGGTAGGCCAGTCAGAGAGACAGAATTTAAGCAAGGCAAAAAGACAAGAAAATTGTGACTGGCGAGAAGCAGAGAAGGAAGGAAAAGGAATCACAGTGGATCCAAAAGACTTTTTAATGCCAGCTTTCATCCTAGGAAGAGCCAAGATCTGTTTGGAAAAAACACCAGTCCCAAGTTAATAATTTTTTCCACAACAGATCTCCGTAACAGGAGGAAAAGGACCTTCTTGAGTCAAAGTTTTGCTGCTAGTGCACAAGATGTTAAATTCCCCCCTCCCCCCTTTGTGTTTTTTTTTTTAAACTGCATCAGATTTTGCAGAACTGTGTAGGAGAGGGATGGGTACCAGTCCTTCAACACTAAGCCCATGATGCTTCCAAATAAATCCTTATTGTAGTCAGTTCTCAGCATAGGAGAAGAGAGACAGACACAAGCTTCATCTACGTTCCCTCAGTCTTTCTGGTTCACTCTTCCCTCCACAGACTGTGCTAGACGCATCCAGAAATATGTTGCCAAGAAGCTTGGAGAGGACTGGATTTTCTTGGTTCTGTTGGGTCTGGTCATGGCGTTGGTGAGCTGGGGAATGGATTATGCCAGTGCGAAGAGCCTACAGGGTGGGTCCTGTTCAGGTGTTGCAAAAGCACACCGTAAATGATATGAATGTTTTACAAAGCCCAGTGACCAATGTTCCTCATCCTTTAACATCAGTGTCCCATCCTCATCCCTTGCTGCCTGGGAAGTTTGAAGTCCTTGCAACATAGTAGAGAAAAGGTTAACTAGGGAGAGGTTCTTTAAAGGGATGGCAGGGAAAAATTTGGAAGTAAGCGTGCAGAAACAAAGGGTATGTGTACGAGTCAAAGACAAACCATTATTTTGAATCCCTTTCCCTCCCGCTCCTTTGAATATGTAGGGACACAGAGAAGTGGCACTGTGTTCCTTCCTATTATACTGGTTCCCATCCTCCCCAAGTCTATTGAGCACATGGGGGGTGGGGAGGGGAAGGGGCTCTTAGATGCCCTCCTGACACTGTTTCTGCTTTTTACCTCATTATTGTTCTTTCCAATTTTTTTTATACAGTGCCCTGCAGTTTCTGGCTACCTGGCCACATAGTGCTCTCTCCTTTGGCTCTTTTCACAAAGATGTCCTAATCATCGTCTTATATCACAGAATCATAGAATAGTTTGGGTTGGAAGAGACCTTTAAAGGTCATCTAGTCCAATCCCCTGCAATGAGCAGGGACATCTTCCCTGCATTTTTCCTGTGGTCCCTCTCCCTTTTGCCAGCTGTAACAATTACAAGACCTTTTGGTCCTCCTGCCCTCCCTCTCGGTGCACACATGCACACACAACATTGCCCACACCCTGTTAACTGCACTGTTCCTTTGTCCTTACCCCCAGTGTCCCAGTCCTGACCTGCACATGCACACCAATCCTTTCCTCTCAGTGCTCTTGGCTGCTGATGTCCACTAGACACTGCAGTTCCCCAAAGCTCCCAATATTCCTTCAGCCCACTGTTGCTCCCACTAGAGCTTCCCCATCTACCAGGCGTCTGGCTTACCCTACCAGTCTCAGAGGGCCTTTGTCCTTCATACTTCCTGCAGCTGAGTTCTTTGGTTGTTTTTTTTTTCTTTCCCTCCACCAAGTCTCAGCCTCCTGCTGTGTGAGGAGCCAGCTCAGGCAAAGAAGATGAACTGCACAGGAGCTGCAGTTCAGTTTGGATTCTTGGCAGCTCGTGCTGTTGTACCTGACTGAGCAATGGTACCACCGCTGTTTTAACAGTTGGCAGAGATCCCTTCATTCTGCTGCTCTAAAAGGCAAAACATAAGCAGAGCTTTTAAGCTAGTTTTTCAGAAAGAATGATTTTTCATGTGATTGAGATGGAGGACAGGGCACTAGCTGTTGGTGGATCACTTTATTATCCTTCAGGACCTACATAAGGCCCTCAGGCTGTCAAATGAAAAGACCCCGTACAGTAAATCATCCTCACAACTGCATGTAACACACCTCTTCTTACACCACATGTGGGCACAGATATTAATAGTGTCTAAGAACAGAGAGACAATTCTATCCATTCCTACAGAATGCCTGTTTTATTTGGGAACTCATACTCAAAATGTAACAAGCCTTGTCTTAGAAAATGAGGACTTTAGGATAGCATTTCTCAGGGAGATTTAGTATGGGTAGGTTTAGCAAGTGTGCAATTCTTTGATGTCTACCAACCTGTTTGGAGCAGCTGTGGTTACTTACAACTTCTTTGTTTGTCTGTCTACAGCCTACAAGTGGATGTACAGAGAGCTGCACCCGAATGTTCCTATGCAGTATCTGGCGTGGGTCACATACCCACTTGTTCTTATTCTGTTTGCGGCCATTTTCTGCCACCTCGTCTCTCCACAGGCTGTTGGTGAGGGCAGAAGGCATGGCAAGATCTGTTTCTGTCTGTCTCTTTTTCTTATTCCATTTGCCTGTGGGTTTTGTTCATCCCCTGCTCTGCTGTTGTTTTCAGGGTCTGGGATCCCAGAGCTCAAAACCATTATGAGGGGAGTGGTCCTCAAGGAATATCTCACTCTCAAAGCTTTTGTGGCCAAAGTTGTGGGCCTCACAGCTGGGCTTGGAAGTGGCATGCCTGTGGGGAAAGAGGTAAATATTGCTGTTTTCATGTGCAGTAGTGGCCAGGGTCTGGGAGGTGAGAGGGGTTGTCTGTGGAAGAAGAGTCTATAAATGTTTTCTTACCTTTGCCACCATTCCTTTTCTCAAAGCTCTGCTCTTTCCAGCAACATTTATCTCCATTGGCCATTTTCCTTCTACTTTGAAAGGCTTGATATAGAAAACATCAAAGAACTCAGGTCAGGTAGTCCTTAAGAGGAAAAAAAGAAAGAAGACTGGAGGACTGGCTGAGATGGCCAAAGAGAAATTATGAGATCTGCAATGGCTAGGTGGCTGTCAGTAACCAGAGGGTAACCCTCTCTGATTTTCTCCTCCTCTTCTTTTGCAGGGTCCTTTTGTGCATATTGCCAGTATCTGTGCTGCGGTACTCAGCAAGTTCATGTCAATATTCTGTGGTGTGTATGAGGTAAGGCACATGTCTGCATACAGCTCTTCCACAGGTTGAACTCCTAAGACACATAGGATAGTGTTGGCAGGCCACAAAACAGAGAGGAGATATATGGATTGAAGGTCACCATACTGCTATAGAGCAGTAAAATACAAGCCAAAGAAAATGGTAGTGGGAGGCCAGATATACAGTCAAATAACTGTGCAGGACCACCAATGTTACCTACCAATTACACAGAGGCTGGTTAGGAATATGCATTTGACAAGTTTTCAATCTCATGATGCTGATACCTTTGCACTGTGATCATTGTCTGTATAAAAAAGTAGCTGCAGACAAAGATCAATTTGTCTTTAAGCCAAATTTGTACAGCACTGCTAATTATAGACACTGACACTGTCTCTAGGCTTTTGCTGTCGCAGAACAGCCTCTGCAGGCTGATCACTGTATTGACTAGTTGTATAAGAAAATCTATTAACTGCATATATAGCTAAATGTAGGAACTGCTTTACATACAGGCTCCTAGCAGAAACTGGCTGTGTAATACAACAATGGGAGGTGCTGTTCTACTTGAGTAGATCCTGTCTGTGCATAAGGACCAGATGTCACTGCTGAAGGCCAGCTGACAGTACTAAAGACTGCACTAAAGTGTGTAGAGCCTGCTATTTGTAATAGCAATGGCTGAATCTGCTGCTGGCTGTTGCTTTGTTTCATTGTTCTGGATCCTAATCCCTTGGCTTTGCTCCCTCTAACCCCAGCATGCCCTTCTCTGGCTGCACTCTCTGTTCCAGAATGTGCATAGGCAGTTCGACCTCCTGGTGGCCGCTTGCGCAGTTGGAGTTGGATGTTGCTTCGAGGCTCCTCTTGGAGGCAAGTGTCTTCCTATCTGTGACATTAAATGTACAACTCATTTAGCCTCTCGCTGTGAGATCTCCTGCTTTCAGGCAGGTTCTCCACAGAGAACCTGCTCTCCACTCAAGCAACACGAGTTCGTTCTTTTCTCATGTAACTGGTGGCAGTGAAAGAAAGGGAAGGTCATAGGAAAAGTGACACCTATTAATGTGCTGATTTCTAATGATGCAGCTTGTTCAGTCCGTGCCGGCCATAGACATTGTTCAACCTGGAGAGCACCAAGGTCTGTTCAGAAATCAATAAGGATCGAGTAGGGAACAGAAGTTAAAAAAAACCCTTCATGTAAGGAGTAGCAACATCTAAGGGCAGGAGATGGTGGCAAGTATGACAGGAAGTGATAATGTGAACAGGAAACTACTATACAAATACTTCATCAGTGGACTGGAGAACAGAAATATCAGTGTGTAAAGTTTTGGGCTCCCCATATAAGAGAGATGCAAAGGGCCAGTAAGACGGTTGGGAGGTTGGAGTAATGGTATATGAGGAGAGGCTGAGGAGGCTGGGTTTGCACAGCCTAAGGCAGAAAAGGCTAAAGGGGGATGGTCTAACTGATGTCATCAACCATCTAAAGGGGGATTTTAGCAAAGATTGATTCAGGCTCTTTTCAGAGGGGCAGAGTGTAAGAGGCAATGGGCATAACTTGCAACAAGGGAAATTCTGACTATGTATAAGGAAAATACGTTCCCCTTTCCCAGGGGTGGTTCAGCACTGGCACAGATGCCCAGAGGGTCTGGGGAATCTCCACCCTTGGAGAAGAACCTGATCTAGCCTTGGAATTAGCACAACTCTGAGCAGGGAGTTGGAGGAGACACCTTCAGTGGTCCCTTCCCACTTTTCTATGATCCTGCTGTCAGGAGAAATGTGGAAATTTACCCCTGTCCCCTTGCATTTGTACTAGTCTTCTGATTCACAGAATTTCCTTAAACAGTACATGTGCCAGAGGCACATGGTAACTTCTTCCTAAAACAGTGGAAATGTATTCATAAATCATTTGTCTTAAAATGTTCTCCATTCTTTGTTGTGCCTTCATTTCACTTTCCTCCCATGCACTGCCCCAAACCTCTCTCCATGGTTATTGTGCCCAGAAGTTTAAGGAGTTTTGGAAATGTGATGTTTTATCTAAGTTGCCTTTATTTCTTCTATGCGCTACTTTCCTGTTAGTCTTCAAATGGATGAGTTAGCTGACAAATTCAGCATGGTCTTGCATCAACAATAATAATGATCTTTACTCTGGTTTGCTATTAAAAAGAAGGCACGAACATAGTTTGTCAGCTACAAATTAGAGGTTCTTCAGTTGATAACCTGAGAAAAGATGCGCCAGGAAGAAAATCAGGTCCAGCAAGAGAGAGACTGAGAGCTGTGTATATGTGGGCAATATAGCAGGTTGGAGACAGCCTGAGCTGAAGACTGAGGCTTCAAGGCAAAACTTGTAAGTCTGCCAAAAACTGTGAGAGAAAGCAGGTTCAGAACCATGGATTAGACCATAGTCAGGTGGAACCATCAGTAGTATACAGGAGAACAGGGTATCTCTCTTAATGGTAAAAAAAACAATGAAAAACAAATGAACAAACAAACAAACAAAAACCCTTCCATAACACAGTCTATAGTTCTTATTTCTTTCTCTGTACCTCTAATTAATATAGTTTTAGAAACTGCAGGACACATTATACATTGTTCACTAGGAGAGGCTAGAGAATAAAAGAGAAGGCTAAAGGGGGAGTGGTCTAACTGCTGTCTTCTGTAGCTAAAGGAGATGTTAGAGAGACAGAATAGCCAAACTCTTCTCAGAGAACAGTGAAAGGACAAGAGACAACAGGCACAACTTGCAACAAGGGAAATTCTCTCTATGCATTAAAAAAAAATTCTCCCCTTGCCCCAAAGGTGGTTCAGGGTGGCACAGGTGCCAAGATAGGCTGGGGGAATCTCCACCCTTGGAGGGGCTCAGGGCTCACCTGGACAAGATCCTGAGCACCCTGATCTAGCCTTGGAGTTAGCCCAGCTCTGAGCAGAGAGTTGGAGAAGCCGCCTCCAGAGGTACCTTCCAGACTAAAACTTGCTGTGAGTCTGTGATAACATTGTGGTATGGGAACAAACTGAAAGTTATCATAGGTTTTGTAGCCCTAGTTGGGTTCCTCTTATGGATTCACACCAAACTGCCGAATGTGATTTCCATTACCTGGGAGCCATGTAATCTTTAGCTGACCTTTATCCAAGATATAGTTTGCAACTTCAGATCATATTGCCCAGGGTGTATAACTTCTTGGTGTTGTTGCTGGTGAATACCACCTTATGTATTAATGAGGAGCCCTCAAAATAGATTTGAAAAGCCAATTTAGCCCTTGACAAGCAAAAAGTGCCCAGCCTACTTTTTCTGAGTGTACTCTGGTACTCTTTGTTTGTCTGTTTGTTTTGGTCTATCTGGCTACTCCTGTGCTGCTACACAGCACCAGCACTCTGACACAGTGCTGGATCCTGGGAGATGCCATATGCCACAGGCTGTTCTCAGTGGTTGCGGTAGGTCTCTCTATCTCATACTGTTCTTCAACACTGTCCCATCAGGCTTTGCACCTTCAAACAACTCTAATTACCTCTTGCTATACTGCAGGCCGTGTTGCGTATACCCTCAGTTTCAAGCTGTTAATCACCATGCTGGTGGGCTATAACACAACCCTCCCACTATTCCAGACACTTTGAAACATAGTGACAAAGGATGAGGAAAAGGCTGAGGTACTTAATGCATTGTTTGCCTCAGTCTTTAATAGTAAGACCAGTTGTTCTCCGGGTACCCAGCCCCCTGAGCTGGAAGGCAGGGACTGGGAGCAGAATGAAGCCCCCAGAATTCAAGGGGAAATGGTTAGCGACCTGCTACACCACTTAGACACACACAAGTCTATGGGGCCGGATGGGATCCACCCAAGGTTACTGGGGGAGCTGGCGGAAGTGCTCACCAAACCACTTTCCATCATTCATCAGTAGTCCTGGCTAACCGGGGAGGTCCCAGTTGACTGGAGATTAGCAAATGTGATGCCCATCTACAAGAAGGCCCAGAAGGAGGATCTGGGGAACCACAGGCCTGTCAGCCTGACCTCGGTGCTGGGGAAGGTTATGGAGCAGATCATCTTGAGTGCCATCACACGGC